GGTCAGAAGTCACAAGCGCCGCCAGCTTTCGATGAATGGAGATCAGGAGCCTCCGAATGACACCAGGAGGAGTGTGTGGTCATCGCGTGAGCTCGCAGCCTTTCTCGACCTCTGCAAGTTTTGACCTACCGAGAGGTCGAGGGAGGTTACCAGTAATTCTTACTCCACGCTTGAGCCTCTACAGGGTGGTCGTCCCTGCGTCACGCGTCCAAGATCAAGGTAAGCCAGCGTTCCGCCCTAGATCGATACCGTTGGGTGATTTACTGGTATGTGGAAATCGTCTTGAGTATTGTTGAAATGTTTGAGCGAGCAGGTCTCGAAATGTTTTTTGACCATTTCAGGCTCTGACGAAGGCGAAGACGCCGAAACGTAGGCCTTCAATAAAGTTGCTCAATCTTGGAAAGGCTAGAAGAAATACAAGAACTATATACATCATGCCAAGATTGCAAGAAAGTCGAACATGGACTATTCTGACACCAGGAGGAATTGTGTAGGCCCAATCAAATATTCTTTATGGAAACAGGGTCTGCAATATGGCTTCTTAACCCCCCGTGGCTAGAGGACACAATCGTCTTTGTCGACACATACTGCCTGTTCCTGCCATCCGGCCGAAAAATGGATGGGACCATCTAACTACATGAGGCCCATCTACGCCCATAATAGCGAGAAGCTCCACTGATGAGACTGGATTCAGCCCGGTTTCAAGCAGTGCTACTTCAAGTGTTATCGTGTGAACGTAAATGCTTCCAATCTACAGGTGTTGGGAAAGGAAGCTGCACAGAATGATCCCTGTATGCTGGAAGTGGGTCATTGAGGACGATGGCATCAACTTGACCTGGAACCAAAACTTACCTTTGAGCGTTGTCCATTTGGTTCTCGCTGAAGATATGCCGCCACGTGGTATAGTGAGAGACCTAAAATACAATAACGTCTTGCCATACTACTCCGGAACATCTCTTGCGCTGCTCTGCAAATAGGGAGGGGCATGCTGCACCTTTGCCGGCTTCTTTTGCTAGTTCATTATTTACGTCACTTTGCAGGCACCTGGATTATAGTCAGTTGGGAGCGATGTCCATGCTATTGCATTGCGCCACAGGACTTTACAGGAGCCATCGGCAGTGATCGATGGGAACCGTCTCACGGTTTTCAGTAAGAAGTTGGTGGCATAGCCATCGAAATTCAAAACTCGACACCGTTTTACTATTTTTACCAAAGAGACAAAAAATATGCTCTGGAACTTCGCTTTTAGAGCCAACTTGACGAAATGATCACGGAAATGACATCATTTTCAACGCAGGCACAGAAGCAGCCAATTTAACGCCACCACTTTTTTCAATGGGTTTGCTGTGGGCCTGTTGTCTGTTGTAATCGAGGGTGCCTACCAAGAATATAATATTAATTTTTGGCGCCTATGAGCGCCAGTTTGGCGACACCATCTTTTCCGCTAGAACTGTACAAACTCGCATAATGGGCTCGCATGATATCCTGATTACGAATGAAACATTCATTCTCGGGCGCCAACACAGGGCACTGTAATCACCTGCGCTTTCCTTAGGCTGATAATGAGTCTGGTCGAGAGAAACTCCTCCTAGACTCAGTCCTAGCAGAGCGCTAATTTACGCTGATACGAAAGGCGAATGTCATTTTCGTGATCAGTGCATCGAATAACCTCTCCAAGCAAAGTTCAGTGAGAAATCCTTTCTAGTTCCTAGAGATCGTCACAGTGGAATAGTGTCAAAGGTTTCACTCAACTGACGGATCAACAGTGCCGCTGTCACAACTTTTTCAACTTCATCTAAGATTGGACGGACGATATGCAATGAATAGTCATCGGCAGATGAGTCTGCTTATTTTCCATAAGTGAGGAGCGGTCCTGTAGATGGAAGGCGTGCCGAGGGTAGTGGTTACATCATAGAAACTATTCGATGGACGTGGATTTAGATGGGAATGACAACATTTTATATTACAAGTTAAAGTTAGAGAAGAGCATCAGTTTGCATTATTTCGATTCGGTGTTTGATTTCTTACCATATGAGTTTTGCCCGCAAGTGTGCCACGGACTAGGTAACTAATGATACGATATAATGAGAACTGCAATAGAGAGTGAAGTTTGAGTACCAGCAGTGAGCCTCAGGCTGATTACATGGCCACATTTTTTAAATCCAAACATTGTTCTGAGTATGACGTGGTCATGGATGACTCGGTGTTAATAAGGCATTTTTTGCCATGCAATATTTGTGCAATGTGCAGAAGAGTAATAACAACTACGTTTTGCCATGCATGAGAATTTATTCAGTTCATTCCCTGCGGAAACGTTTGAGAAGCTCTGCTTCGTAGCGGTAGAAAACTTCACTGATAGAAAGGAAAATCTCCTTGATCATTGCCGTTGTATTTTTGGCAAACCCCTGAAAAAGCATTTTACAATTAGTTGGAAAATGCGAATTTTAACTTCGAGGTGACTCACCTGTCTTCTCGCATATCCAGTCCAAATATTTGCGCACATCAGTAAATGAATCGAATGCGTAATCGTGCACATGCAGTGGTAAGTTAGTGATTTTCGTATAATTAAAATCTGTAACGGACAAGGTTCATCACGATATTTCAGTCAAGATCAGCTGTTTAACTCAAGTATTTTGCAACTTACGCTTGTCACAAGAATTACCACGAGACATCACACCCAACTGTATGAATCTGTTATCACCGTTAGTTTGAATGAGCGCACCTCCACTGTCTCCCTCAAGATATAAATAACATCCGCAACAATTCAGTTGAATGCACTCATTATTTTCAAAAGAATTTACTCACGGGACATATTCCTGCTTTTAGAGGCAATAACACATCAATAACCTTGTTCCGTGTTTGCAGGAATGTAACATTCAGCTTTTGTAAGCCAACTGATTCCTGGGACATATCCTTTTCATCGGCTGAAATATTCCTTGAGAAGATTCTAAGCCGCATTCATCAGGCTGTCTTCCAAAGAAAACAAGATTGCCCAAGCGAACCACAAAAAACTATACTTATACGAATGGAACTTACGGCCCCTCCAGCCTGCTCCCACTGCAATGAGATCAGTGTTGAATCGCTTGATATCTTGTCGGCATGCAAATCGGTGTCGCCTCGGACTCCGGAACATTTTCGTCGAGTTCTATTATTGCTATGTCGTTTTCATGAGTGCAGCCATCGTACTGCTCGTGATAATGCACCTTAGTCAAAAACATGATCGGGCTGATAAACACAAGCTTGTGTTACATTTGTGGAGCTAAGTTCAATATCCTTTTCATTCAAAGCCAAGAGAGGGAATTATCCGAGCGCGTCCCATTACTAGAATTTTTATACTGTCAACAAAAGCGACTG